TTGGACTTCAACTCCCACAATTCCTAACAGCCTATTGGCTGTTAGGAATTGTGGGAGTTGAAGTCCAAAACCCCCAGAGGGCCCAAGTTGGCCCATGCCTGGTTTACACTGACCCATATAATCCACTTCAAACAGCAAGACATGGCAAAGAAGTGAAAAGGAAACTTGTATTATTTTTCTCTTTGTCCGCTTCCTTACCTTCCTTGCTTTTCTGTTCCGGGGGAACTTCGGCCACAAAACACTCATATTTGGGTCTCTCCCCGAATCCGTGTTTGTGAAGCACTGGGGGAGAAGCAGAGAAAAAGGACATCTGAATGGTCATCTGTCAGGGGTGCTTTGATGGTGCCTTTTCTTGAGTGGCAGAATGGGGTTGGACTAGATGGACTTTAGAGGTCACTTCCAATTCTGGGATTCAGTGGCATGGATGCCGCACCTTTCCCTCCTTAGCACCGAACCAAAAGGGTGTCAAACCACATTCGTTCTGCAGTGTAGATGCACCCAGTCCAACAGAAACTGGGCAAGGCTGTTTTGCACAACAATGCAGACAGACACCTCATGGCATTCCTTACCATCCACATTAGTGTACAGTTGGGTCAACGGGACGTTGTAGATAACTGCAATTTCCTGCAAAAAAAAGAGAGAAAATGGTCTAAACAAGGGTTGGGTTATGTTGAGTTGAGTTGGGTTGAGTTTAGTTGGATTGGGTTGGGTTTAGTTGGGTTGAATTGGGTTGGGTTGAGTTGGGTTAGATTGGGTTGAGCTGAGTTGGGTTTAGTTGGGTTGAGTTGGGTTTAGTTGGGTTAGGTTGGGTTGAGTTGGGTCGAGTTGAGTTGGGTTGAATTGGGTTGGGTTGAGTTGGGTTAGGTTGGGTTGAGTTGGGTTTAGTTAGGTTGGGTTGAGTTGGATTCGGTTGGGTAGAGTTGGGTTAGGTTGGGTTGGGTGGAGTTTAGTTGGATTGGGTTGGGTTTAGTTGGGTTAGGTTGGATTGAGTGGGGTTGAGTTGGGTTGGGTTGAATTGGGTTGGGTTGAGTTGGGTTTAGTTGAGTTGGGTTAGGTTGAGTTTTCTGGGCATTTTGCCCACATTTATGGCGGGCGTCCATAGGGTTGGGTTTTCACAATATGGTGTGTTTACAATGCAGAGTTAACACACTTTGACCCTCACTTGGAACTGCCACGGCTCCATGCAATGGAATAATGGGAGTTGTGGTTTTTAGCCTTCATCAAACCACAACTTAAAGGATTCCATAGCATTGAGCCGTGGAAGTTCAAGTGGCGTCGAACTGCATTAATTCCACAGTGTAGATGGCTACAGCTCAACTTTTGTGGCTCACCTTAATAAGACGTAGGATGTCCTTCAGGTCTTTGGGAGCGCAGGGACGCACAACGAAACTCATGGCTTCCTCCGAAGCGTCCTGATCCTATGCACAGGCTTGCCCTTCCCTCCTTCTTTCCTTCCTTCCTTTCTTCCTTCCTTCCTTCCCTTCCTTCTTTCCTTTTCTCTCTCTCTCTTCTCTCTTTTTCTTTCTTTTCCTCCTTCCTTCCTTCCTCACTCCCTCTCCTGTCCTGTTCAACTGGACTGCACTGGAGTAGACAAAACCAGCAACTGGACCTCCACCTCTCCTTCTCTCTTTCTCTCTCTCTTCCCTCCTTCTTCTTTTCCTCCTCCTCCTCCTCCTCCTCTACTTCTCCTGGCAAAAGGGCATCAAGCCATGCGGAACACCCCAAATTCATTCCCTGTGAAATCCAGGGGGATGAGGGCATTCCTACACATTATTTCATTATTTTTACAGTATTTTATTTTATGATATTATATTATTTTATGACATTTTACTATCGTATTATTTCATTATGACAATTATTTTATTTCATGGTATTTTATTTTGAAATATTTTGCAGAGAACACAATGGAAATCCGTTCACAGTTCATTTGTGTTTCACACTAACCCGGTACACACAGCTGGAAGGACACTTCATAGCCAACATTTTAAATATTTTTGTACATAAAATAAAGGTTTGTGTGTATCCCAAAGCGAAGGCGATGCCCTCTCAGCCACCCGTGCAGACACTTTCGGAATTCCATTGAAGAGGATGCATCCTGTAAATGTGTGTGTGTGCATATGTGTGTGTGTATATGTGTATATATGTATATGTATATGTCTGTGTGTATGTGTATATATATGTATGTATATACCGTAGTATATGTATGTATATATGTATACATGTGTATATATTTATGTGTGTGTGCGCACGCATATAGATATGTGTGTATATGTGTGTATATGTATGAATATATGTATATGTGTGTATATATATATATGTATACAGTATATCTGTGTATATATGTATACATGCATGTATATGTGTGTATGTGTGAAGATATGTATGTGTGCGAATATATGTATACAGTATATGTGTGTACATATATCTGTATACAGTATATGTGTGTATATGTATGTGTGAATATATGTGTCTATATATATGTATACCGTATATCTGTGTTTATGTATACGTGTATATATGTGTATATATGTATGTGTGTGTATATATGTACGTGTGTGAATATATGTGTACAGTATGTGTGAATATGTCTATATCTGTGTGTATATATATATCTGTGTATATATGTATATGTGCATGTATATGTGTGTATATATATATATATGCAGTATATGTGTGTATATTTGTCTACACATATGTATATGTATACACATGTGTGCATATATCTATGTATATATGTATCTGTGTGTATATATGTATGTGTATATAAAACTGCATTTGTGTGTGTGTGTGTATATATATATATACAGTATATGTGTGTATACATGTATATACATGTCTATGTGTATACATATGTGTGTATACATATATACATATCACAATATTTATGATGATCTTGTGCATGATACAAAATTTTATGAATGCAAAGGCAATACTCTTGCAGCCTCTCAGATGGACAATTTCAGATTTTGGAGTATTTTGTGATTCTGGTTAACACATGGTCAATCTATAATATATGTATTAACAGCCAGTTTTGATGAGCATTACTCTTTCAGACTAAGTTCTAAGGAAAAAACGCCCCTTACGCAAAGTTTGGAGAAGTTACTTTTGGGGACTACGCCTCCCAGAATCCCCTCCCAGCCGCCTTGTGCAAAAGTAACTTCCCCAAGCTCTGCTGTTTATGCAAAATACCAAGAAGCCTGGAGATCAGCGGTTCCACATTGAAGTCCCTTCTGACCTTTCCTACGGATGCCCTCTGGACTCGGCGGATTGTTTATTAACAGTTGCTAGAAATTAAGGAAAAGATGATTAACTCACAAAATACGTACTCCTGGGCCTACTTTGCAGGGCTGTCGTGAAGATGGCGTAAATACAATGGAGTGTTTGTGGGGCCTCCAGAAAACCCTTCCGTCCTTGTCCTCAATTTGTCCTCAATTATAATAATTGTAGAAATAGAGATAATTAGTAGTTACCTTGGTAGTAACGGGTAACAGGTAGTTAGTTACATGGGTAGTTATTTACCATATAATATTATCTCTATGTTTATCATTATAATAGTAGCAGAAATAGAGAAAATGATTATTATTGAGAAGTTACCTTGATAGTAACGAGTACTTAGTTACCTTGGTAGTTCCTTGGAAGAACATTTGCAAAGGAGTTTGCATCCCTTCTAAGAAAAAGGGCATGTAAATAATAATAATAATAATAATAATTCTACAATTATAATAATCGTAGAAATGGAGATAAGTCTTATCTCCATTTCTACGATTATTATAATTGTAGAATTATTATTATTATTATTATTATTATTATTATTATTATTATTATTATTATAGTATTATTATAGTAGTAGTAGTTATCTGATAAGTAGTAGTTACCTTGGTAGTAATGGGTAGTTAGTTACTTGGGTAGTTAGTTACCTTGGTAGTTCCTTCGAAGAACATAAGGAAAAGGAGGATGTAAATTATTATTATTATTATTACTATTCTACAATTATAATAATCGTAGAAATAAAGATAATTAGTGGTTACCTTGGTAGTAACGGGTAACGGGTTGTTAGTTACATGGGTAGTTGGTTACTTTGTAGTTCCTTTGAAGAACGTTTGCAAAGGAGTTTGCATCCCTTCTAAGACAAAAGGGCATGTAAATAATTATAATAATAATAATTATTATTATTATATTTATGCAATTATAATAATCGTAGAAATAGAGATAATTAGTAGTTACCTTGGTAGTAACTGGTAACGGGTAGTTAGTTACCTTGGTAGTTCCTTTGAAGAACGTTTGCAAAGGAGTTTGCATCTCTTCTAAGAAAAAAGGGCTTGTAAATAATAATAATAATAATAATAATTATTATTATTATTATTATTATTGTATTTTTGCAATTATAATAATAGTAGAAATAATTACCTTGGTAGTAACGGGTAACAGGTAGTTAGTTACCTTGGTAGTTCCTTCGAAGAACGTTTGCAAAGGAGTTTGCATCTCTTCTAAGAAAAAAGTGCATGTAAATAATAATAATAATAATAATAATTATTATTATTATTATTATTATTATTATTATTATTGTATTTCTGCAATTATAATAATCGTAGAAATAGTGATAATTAGTAGTTACCTTGGTAGTAACGGGAAACAGGTAGTTAGTTACCTTGGTAGTTCCTTCAAAGAACGTTTGCAAAGGAGTTTGCATCTCTTCTAAGGAAAAGGAGCATGTAAATTATTATTATTATTATAAATTATTATATCTCTATTTCTAGGATTATATAAATAATAATAATAATAATAACAACAACAACTATTCCTAGGAGACGTTTAAAGACTCCCAAGATCTTGCAAAACTACAATCCTTGGAATTCCCATAGCAGTTAAACTGGGATCAAGCTGCATTCATTCATTCATTCATTCATTCATTCACTCATTCATTCATTCATTCCTTCTGCATTCATCCCCTCTCCCCTCCTTCCCCCGCCTCCCTCCTCTTTCCCGAGGCATGCTGGGAAATGTAGTCCTGGGGCCCAGAGAGCAGGAGGAGGAGCAACATGGACCCAGCGGTCTCGATCCGGGATTGCCAGGCTGAAGACTGCACTGAAGTCCTGCGTTTGATCCGGGTAAGAGTCGAACTACACATCCCAGCCCCTGCAGCCTGAGACAACTGGAGTCTCCTCTTAGGACTACAAATCCCAGCGTCCCTTCACCCCCTCCCCAGCTTGCAAGATCCAGACAGCAGAGACTGGATGGCTATCTAACATTGTGCCTTCCTTTAGAGTTTTGGACTACAACTCCCACAATTCCTAATGCATTTACATCAGGAATGGGCAAACTTGGACCCTCCAGGCGTTTTGGACTACAACTCCCACAATTCCTAATGCATTTACATCAGGTATGGGCAAACTTGGGCCCTCCAGGTGTTTTGGACTACAACTCCCACAATTCCTAACAGCCTACCGGCTGTTATAACAGCATTTTGTTCCACTAAATCTGCTGATTTTTTATAGGTCTTGAGGCTATATATAGAGATATTATATGTATATCTTCTTTTTCGATGGCAGCCTGGAATTTGCAAATATCTCACGTATTGCTTTTCCTGCATTTGAAGGCCTGGTTTGACCCTGGGATTTGCATTTATTTTTCGCTTCGAAAAATAAATGCGAATGTGTGCCAAGTTTGGTGCAATTATATCGTAGGTAGGGTTCAGAATGCTCTTTGATTGTAGGTGCACTATAAATCCCAGCAACTACAATTCCCAAATGTCAAGGTCTATTTTCCCCAAACTCCATTAGTGTTTACATTTGGGCATATTGAGAATTCGTGCAAGTTGGTCCAGATCCATCATTGTTTGAGTCCACAGTGCTCTCTGAACTACAACTCCCAAAACTCAAGGTCAATGCCCACCAAACCCTTCCAGTATTTTGTGTTGGTCATGGAGTTCTGTGTGCCAAGTTTGGTTCAATTCCATGTTGTGGAGTTCAGAATGCTCTGTTGGTCATGAGAGTTCTATAAATCCCAGTAACTACAACTCCCAAATATCAAGGTTTGTTTTCCCGTAACTCCACCTATGTTCACATTTGGGCATATTGAGTATTCGTGCCAAGTTTGGTCCAGATCCATCATTGTTTGAATCCACAGTTCTCTCTGGATGTAGGTGAACTACAACTCCCAAACTCAAGGTCAATGCCCACCAAACCCTTCCAGTATTTTCTTTGGTTCATGGGAGTTCTGTGTGCCAAGTTTGGTTCAATTCCGTCCTTGTTGGAGTTCAGAATGCTCTTTGATTGTAGGTGAACTATAAATCCCAGCAACTACACTTCCCAAATGTTAAAGTCTGTTTTCCCCAAACTCCACAAGTGTTCGCATTTGGGCATATTGAGTATTCGTGCCAAGTTTGGTGCAGATCCATCATTGTTTGAGTCCACAGTGCTCTCTGGATGTAGGTGAACTACAACTCCCAAACTCAAGGTCAATGCCCACCAAACCCTTCCAGTATTTTCTGTTGGTCGTGGGAGTTCTGTGTGCCAAGTTTGGTTCAATTCCATCATTGGTGGAGTTCAGAATGCTCTTTGATTGTAGGTGAACTATAAATCCCAGCAACTACAACTCCCAAATGACAAAATCAATCTTCCCATCCCAAGTATTCAGATTTGGGCGTATTGGGTATTTGTTCCAAATTTGGTCCAGTGAATGTAAATACATCCTGCAGATCAGATGTTTACGTTGCGATTCATAACAGGAGCAAAATGACAGTTGTGAAGTTGCAACGATAACAATGTTATGGTTGTGGGGCCACCACAACAGGAGGAACTGTATTAAGGGGTTGCGGCATTAGGAAGGTTGAGAAACACTGCTCTATGATATGGAATGTAGTTAATGCTTGTGAAACTACAACTTCCAGGATTCTGTAGCATTTAGCTATGGAAGTGTTGTCAAACTGGATTAATGCCATAGTGTAGGTGCACCTTCTGTTGATGGTTTATCTTTTACATTCCAGGAACTGGCAGAATATGAGAAAGTACCTGAGCAGGTGAAAATCAGCGATCAAGGTGAGTTAAGCTGCAAGGAGAGGCAGGTAAGGTATTATCATTGTTATGAGCCCCCGGTGGCGCCCTAACCCTAACCTTTGTGCCAGCAGGGCTGCTGACCGAAAGTTCAGCGGTTTGAATCCGGGCAGCAGGGTGAGCTCCTGTCTGTCAGCTCCAGCTTCTCATGCGGGGACATGAGATATTATCATTGTTATGAGCCCCCGGTGGCGCCCTAACCCTAACCTTTGTGCCAGCAGGGCTGCTGACCGAAAGGTCAGCGGTTTGAATCTGACAGCAGGATGAGCTCCTATCTGTTAGCTCCAGCTTCTCATGCGGGGACATGAGATATTATCATTGTTATGAGCCCCCGGTGGCGCCCTAACCCTAACCTTTGTGCCAGCAGGGCTGCTGACCAAAAGGTCAGCGGTTTGAATCCGGAGAGCGGTGTGAGCTCCTATCTGTCAGCTCCAGCTTCTCATACGGGGACATGAGATATCATTGTTATGAGTCCCCGGTAGCGCCCTAACCCTAACCTTTGTGCCAGCAGGGCTGCTGACCGAAAGGTCAGCGGTTTGAATCCGGCAGTGGGGTGAGCTCCTATCTGTCAGCTCCAGCTTCTCATGTGGGGACATATTATCATTGTTATGAGCCCCCGGTGGCGCCCTAACCCTAACCTTTGTGCCAGCAGGGCTGCTGACCGAAAGTTCAGCGGTTTGAATCCAGGCAGTGGAGTGAGCTCCTGTCTGTCAGCTCCAGCTTCTCATGTGGGGACAAGATATTATCATTGTTATGAGCCCCCGGTGGCGCCCTAACCCTAACCTTTGTGCCAGCAGGGCTGCTGACCGAAAGTTCAGCGGTTTGAATCCAGGCAGTGGAGTGAGCTCCTGTCTGTCAGCTCCAGCTTCTCATGTGGGGACATGAGATATTATCATTGTTATGAGCCCCCAGTGGCGCCCTAACCCTAACCTTTGTGCCAGCAGGGCTGCTGACCGAAAGGTCAGCGGTTTGAATCTGGGCAGTGGGGTGAGCTCCTGTTTGTCAGCTCCAGCTTCTCATGTGGGGACATGAGATATTATGATTTTTATGAGCGCCCGGTGGCTCCCTAACCCTAACCTTTGTGCCAGCAGGGCTGTTGACTGAAAGGTCGGAGGTTTGAATCCGGGCAGCGGAGTGAGCTCCTATCTGTCAGCTCCAGCTTCTCATGTGGGGACATGAGATATTATCATTTTTATGAGCCCCCAGTGGCACCCTAACCCTAACCTTTGTGCCAGCAGGGCTGCTGACCGAAAGGTCAGCGGTTTGAATCTGGGCAGTGGGGTGAGCTCCTGTTTGTCAGCTCCAGCTTCTCATTTGGGGATATGAGATATTATCATTTTTATGACTCCCGGTGGCACCCTAACCCTAACCTTTGTGCCAGCAGGGCTGCTGACCGAAAGTTCAGCGGTTTGAATCCAGGCAGTGGAGTGAGCTCCTGTCTGTCAGCTCCAGCTTCTCATGCGGGGACATGAGATATTATCATTGTTATGAGCCCCCGGTGGCGCCCTAACCCTAACCTTTGTGCCAGCAGGGCTGCTGACCGAAAGGTCAGCGGTTTGAATCTGGGCAGCGGGGTGAGTTCCTATCTGTCAGCTCCAGCTTCTCATGCGGGGACATGAGAGATGCCTCTCACATGTCCTTGCAGATGGCCAATTCTCTCATACCAGAAGCAACTTGCAGTTTCTCAAGTCACTCCTGACACAGAAAAAAATCCTTCCATCCGTCCATCCGTCTTTTGCTCTCTTTCAGGGCTTTTCCAAGATGGATTTGGACAGGATCCGTTCTACAAATGCTTGGTGGCCGAAGTCCCCCCAGAACGCCGAAGTAAAGGAGGTGAGTGAGAATAAAATGCTTGTTGGGGCTCAGCAACAAGATGCTGGGGATGATGGGGATTCTGCCTTGGAGGATGAGGGGAATGGTGGATTTTTCACTGAGTTTCTGTGTGTGATCAGGCTGAAACACAGGCAGAAATGCAGGCCATCGATCAGAGAGAAGGGCCGACAGCTGCAGAAGAGATACAACATGTTTGGGATTCCGTTTGTCTTGAGAATTGTTGCAATCCAGAGCAGGAAACGAGGCCCTAAGATAACTATCCACCACACTTGACTGTGAAAAACAATCCTTTTTTATTGAAGAAAAATGGTTACAAAATAAAGGAAAAATGCAAGTCAAAAGCCACAGCAAAATCAGCAAACATGAATTTCCATGAACAAGATCAAAACCCAAAGCCACACTGTAAAATACTGGAACCTGTTAGCAATCCACTAACCGTACTTGGTGTCCTAGAAATCTTTCAAGACGATGGCCAGGGAAACCGGGAGAACTGCCAAGGTTTTCATCAACCTAAAACGATGCCTGAACTGAGAAAGTCAGCCCGGCAGAAGGCACTTAAAGCCGAGGAATTGGTTTCGTGAACCGCCTCCCTGCTTTGAAGCCCTTGTTTGTATTTCTTTTAATCGGGAAGACCTTCGCAAGCTGAGTGATTTACTCCTGTCTTGCCAGATCTGGCCCCTTCTATTCTCATTAAGTTTCCAGATGCAGAAGGGAGTGAAAGGTCATGGCTTCCCTCTGAAACAATCTCATGAACACTGGTACTTTCATTTTCCAAATCTACAGAAGTTTCTTCCTCATTAATTTCGGGAGCATTGACATCAAGAAGTACATTTTCATTAGCATCAGGAAGTATATTTTCATTAGCATCAGTAAATATATTTTCATTAGCATCAGGAGGAACAAACAGAGAATCAGGTTCAAGTTCAAACTCAGGCTGAACCCCAACAAGAATCAGCCTTCACGGCCTTCTCTGCCTTCAGAGGATGGGGAGTTGTCCCATGATACGAGATTAGGTTTCTGCTCAGAGAGAGCAAAGGAAATGTTCATGAGAAGGTCAGGAAGACTCTGTGAGAAACAGTCCTTGAAACCCAGGCTCAGAAGGGATGACCGCATGGCTGCTTGGTCAGGTTTGAGCTTAATAATAAAATAAATAAACTTTATTTATACCCCGCTACCATTTTTTAAATTTTTAAACTATTACATTTGGCCCGGCCATTGCTTTTTAAATCCTTGTGTGTTACTGTTTATTGGTTATTGTTTATATGTGATTTATATTAATTGTATTGCATTTATTGTTTTTGTTTATTGCTTTTTGTTTTTACTGGTGTTGTTGGGCTTGGCCTCATGTAAGCTGCTCCGAGTCCCCTTTGGGGAGATGGTGGCAGGGTATAAATAAAGTTTATTTATTATTATTATTTGAAACACAACAAGATGAGTCCACGACAAACAAGAACAAACAAGAACACTCTGAATTGGATCACACGTCAGACACTTCCCAAGTGTGTAGGGCTGTGTGATGTATCGGCAAATAATGTGTGCAGATCCCAGTAAGGTGGCCTTTTGCAGTTGGCAGATGGTAATTTTGTCAGCGCCGATTGTGTTTAAGTGCAAGCCAAGGTCTTTAGGCACTACACCCAGTGTGCCAATCACCACTGGGCCCACCTTTACTTTATTATTTACTGGTTTGTGCCAGAATCTTTGCAGATTATTATTATTATTATTATTATTATTATTATTATTATTATTATTATTATTATCCTGTCCTCCAACATTCCGTTTTCTGATCTTGAGTTCGGAGTAGAGCAACTGCATTGGGAAACGGTGCTCGGGCATCTGGACAATGTGGCCGGTCCAGCGGAGTTGATGGTGGAGGACCATTGCTTCAATGTTGGTGGTCTTTGCTTCTTCCAGCACACTGACATTTGTCTGTCTTCCCAAGAGATTTGCAGGAGGCAATGCTGATGGAATCGTTCCAGGAGCTGCATGTGACATCTGTAGACAGTCCACGTTTCACAGGCATATGGCAGGATTGGGAGGACAGTAGCTTTATAAACAAGCACCTTGGTCTCCCTATGGATGTCCCAGTCCTCAAACACTCCCTGCTTCATTCGGAAGAATGCTCCACTCGCAGAGCTCAGGCGGTGTTGTATTTCAGTGTCGATGTTGACGTCTGTAGACAGTCCACGTCTCGCAGGTGTATAGCAGGGTTGGGAGGACAATAGCTTTATAAACAAGCACCTTGGTCTCCCTATGGATGTCCCGGTCCTCAAACACTCTCTGCTTCATTCGGAAAAATGCTGCACTCGCAGAGCTCAGGCGGTATTGTATTTCAGTGTCAATGTTGACTTTGGTGGAGAGGTGTCTGCAGGGTTGGGAGGACAATAGCCTTATAAACAAGCACCTTGGTCTCCCTATGGATGTCCCAGTCCTCAAACACTCTCTGCTTCATTCGGAAGAATGCTCCACTCGCAGAGCTCAGGCGGTGTTGTATTTCAGTGTCGATGTTGACGTCTGTAGACAGTCCATGTCTCGCAGGTGTAGAGCAGGGTTGGGAGGACAATAGCTTTATAAACAAGCACCTTGGTCTCCCTATGGATGTCCCAGTCCTCAAACACTCTCTGCTTCATTCGGAAGAATGCTCCACTCGCAGAGCTCAGGCGGTATTGTATTTCAGTGTCGATGTTGACGTCTGTAGACAGTCCATGTCTCGCAGGGTATAGCAGGGTTGGTAGGACAATAGCTTTATAAACAAGCACCTTGGTCTCCCTACGGATGTCCCGGTCCTCAAACACTCTCTGCTTCATTCGGAAGAATGCTGCACTCGCAGAGCTCAGGCGGTGTTGTATTTCAGTGTCGATGTTGACGTCTGTAGACAGTCCATGTCTCGCAGGTGTAGAGCAGGGTTGGGAGGACAATAGCTTTATAAACAAGCACCTTGGTCTCCCTATGGATGTCCCAGTCCTCAAACACTCTCTGCTTCATTCGGAAGAATGCTCCACTCGCAGAGCTCAGGCGGTATTGTATTTCAGTGTCGATGTTGACGTCTGTAGACAGTCCATGTCTCGCAGGGTTGGGAGGACAATAGCCTTATAAACAAGCACCTTGGTCTCCCTATGGATGTCCTGGTCCTCAAACACTCTCTGCTTCATTCGGAAGAATGCTCCACTCGCAGAGCTCAGGCGGTGTTGTATTTCAGTGTCAATGTTGACGTCTGTAGACAGTCCATGTCTCGCAGGCGTATAGCAGGGTTGGGAGGACAATAGCTTTATAAACAAGCACCTTGGTCTCCCTAGATGTCCCAGTCCTCAAACACTCTCTGCTTCATTCGGAAAAATGCTGCACTCGCAGAGCTCAGGCGGTGTTGTATTTCAGTGTCAATGTTGACGTCTGTAGACAGTCCATGTCTCGCAGGGTTGGGAGGACAATAGCCTTATAAACAAGCACCTTGGTCTCCCTATGGATGTCCTGGTCCTCAAACACTCTCTGCTTCATTCGGAAGAATGCTCCACTCGCAGAGCTCAGGCGGTGTTGTATTTCAGTGTCGATGTTGACGTCTGTAGACAGTCCATGTCTCGCAGGTGTAGAGCAGGGTTGGGAGGACAATAGCTTTATAAACAAGCACCTTGGTCTCCCTATGGATGTCCCAGTCCTCAAACACTCTCTGCTTCATTCGGAAGAATGCTCCACTCGCAGAGCTCAGGCGGTATTGTATTTCAGTGTCGATGTTGACGTCTGTAGACAGTCCATGTCTCGCAGGGTTGGGAGGACAATAGCTTTATAAACAAGCACCTTGGTCTCCCTACGGATGTCCTGGTCCTCAAACACTCTCTGCTTCATTCGGAAAAATGCTGCACTCGCAGAGCTCAGGCGGTGTTGTATTTCAGTGTCAATGTTGACGTCTGTAGACAGTCCATGTCTCGCAGGTGTAGAGCAGGGTTGGGAGGACAATAGCTTTATAAACAAGCACCTTGGTCTCCCTATGGATGTCCCAGTCCTCAAACACTCTCTGCTTCATTCGGAAGAATGCTCCACTCGCAGAGCTCAGGCGGTATTGTATTTCAGTGTCGATGTTGACGTCTGTAGACAGTCCATGTCTCGCAGGGTTGGGAGGACAATAGCCTTATAAACAAGCACCTTGGTCTCCCTATGGATGTCCCAGTCCTCAAACACTCTCTGCTTCATTCGGAAGAATGCTCCACTCGCAGAGCTCAGGCGGTATTGTATTTCAGTGTCGATGTTGACGTCTGTAGACAGTCCATGTCTCGCAGGCGTATAGCAGGGTTGGGAGGACAATAGCTTTATAAACAAGCACCTTGGTCTCCCTACGGATGTCCCGGTCCTCAAACACTCTCTGCTTCATTCGGGAAAATGCTGCACTCGCAGAGCTCAGGCGGTGTTGTATTTCGGTGTCAATGTTGACTTTGGTGGAGAGGTGGCTGCCAAGGGTAGTGGAAATGGTCCACATTTTCTAATGTTACACCATTTGGCTGTATCTCTGGCATTGGGGAGGGGATTGGCTGGTGACTGCTGGAAGAGCACTTTGGTTTTCTCAATGTTCAATGACAGGCCGAGCTTCCCCTTTTGGGTATGCTTTTGGTAAACAAACTGTAGTTAGCTACTTCTGGACTCTGTGTGGTGCCGGGTGAAAAGGCGTTCCACGGCTAGAGCGCAAAAATACTATATACTTTGAGCTAATCCAGTTATCATTTGCTCCGGATTAGGACCCATAATAGCAGCAAGACTGGTTCTAATCCCAATGAAATATCTTTTCCTTCTGTCGCTTCTTTCTAGGTCACACCATCGTCGGTTACGCCCTGTATTTCTTCACTTACAGCACCTGGAAAGGACGGAACATCTATATGGAAGACCTCTATGTGATGCCAGAATTTCGGGGTATATATATACTGCTCTGGCCAGAGCGAAGAGAGAGGGAGACAGGAGACAGTTCCATCTTGTCTCCTGTGCTTTACATATAATATAATATAATATAATATAATATAATATAATATAATATAATATAATATAATATAATATAATATAATAAATATAATAAATATAATATTATATTATATTATATTATATTATATTATATTATATTTATACATATAATAATAATATATATATATATATACATATAATATATATACATATATATATATATATATACACACTAGCTGTACCCTGCCACGCGTTGCTGTGGCCTATAGTAAATCTTTTCAAAGTAGAGGTAGATATCTGGAATATTATGAAAGAGAGGTACCTACCTATTCCTTCCCCCTTTTCTCCCCTTTCTCTCTTCTCTCCTCTTTCTTTTCTTTCTTTCTTTCTTTCTTTCTTTCTTTCTTTCTTTCCTTCTTTCGCTCCTTGGTTTCATTCTTCTCTCTTTCCTTCATTCCCTCCCCCTTTCTTCCTTTGCCTCCTTTCTTCCCTCCATGTTTCCTTCCTTCTTTCATTTTTATTTCCTTTTCTCCTTCCTTCTTTACCTCTTTCCTGCCTTTCCTTCCTTTTATTTTTCTTTCCTTTCTACTTTCTCTTCTTGCTTCCTTCGGTACGTCTTTCTTTCCTGCTTTCCCTCCTTCCTTTCTTCCTTCCCAATGCTTACCAAACCCTTCTCGTGCTTTCTGTTGGGTCATGGGAGTCCTGTGTGCCACGTTTGGTTTAATTCCATCGTTGGTGGAGTTCAGAATGCTTTGATTATAGGTAAACTATAAATCCCAGCAGCTTCAGCGGAGGGGGGTGGGAGGAGGAGGAGTGCAGGGGCGAGCGTCGGTGGGTGTGGACGGGGCTTCAGCGGAGTGGGGTGGGAGGTGCGGAGGGTGCGTTGGCCGTTTGGCCATGTGCGCGCGCTGGGGCCTTCGCGCCATTGCGCATGCTCAGTTGTTTTGTCCTTTTGTGAGTGTGTTGTTGTGTTGTTTTTTATTTTGATTCGATTTGTTTGTACCTTGTGGGTTGAGGTATGTGCATGGGAATTTTGGTTAATTTTTGTTGGGGGGTTTTTGAGTTTTGCTGTCCCGTTGGATGCCCCTTACAGATTTATATATATAGATGTATAGTATAGTATAATATTACTAATAATAATACAATATTATAATTATAATTATATATTTTATATTACATATAATATTACTAATAATATTACAATATAATTATATAGTACAATATTGTAATATATAATACTGATATTGTACTATGCTGATAATATAATATATATAATGTATATACATATAATATTTATATTATAATGTAATACAATACAATATTACTACTAATAATACAATATTATAATTATATATTTTATATTACATGTAATATTATTAATAATATTACAATATAATGGTATAGTACAATATAAATACTTAATACTGATATTGTACTATGCTAATAATATAATATATAATGTATATACATATAATATTTAATAATATTATAATGTAATACAATATAATATTACTAATAATAATACAATATTATAATTATATATTTTATATTATTACATATAATATTACTAATAATATTACAATATAATTATATAGTACAATATTGTAATATATAATACTGATATTGTACTATGCTGATAATATAATATATATAATGTATATACATATAAATTAATAATATTATAATGTAATACAATATAATATTACTAATAATAATACAATATTATAATTATAATTATATATATTTATATTAAATGTAATATTACTAATAATATTACAATATATATAGTACAATATTGTAATATATAATACTGATATTGTACTATGCTAATAATATATATAATGTATATACATCTAATATTAATAATATTATAATGTAATACAATATAATATTACTAATAATAATACAATATTATAATTATAATTATATATATTTATATTAAATGTAATATTACTAATAATATTACAATATATATAGTACAATATTGTAATATATAATACTGATATTGTACTATGCTAATAATATATATAATGTATATACATCTAATATTAATAATATTATAATGTAATACAATATAATATTACTAATAATAATACAATATTATAATTATATATTTTATATTACATGTAATATTACTAATAATATTACAATATAATGGTATAGTACAATATAGTAATATTAATAACTGATATTGTACTATGCTAATAATATATATAATATATACATATAATATTATATAATTTATAATGTAATACAATAATATTATAATAATAATACAATATTATAATTATCATTATATATTTAATCATTACATGTAATATTACTAATAATATTACAATATATATTGTAAATATTAGTAATATATAATACTGATATTGTACTATGCTAATAAATATATTATTGTATATACATCTAATATTAATAATATTATAATGTAATACAATATAATATTACTAATAATAATACAATATTATAATTATATATTTTATATTACATGTAATATTACTAATAATATTACAATATAATGGTATAGTACAATATAGTAATCTATAATACTGTTATTGTACTATGTTAATAGTATAATATATTGTGTATATATATATATATATATGTATGTGTGTGTGTGTGTGTGTCTATATATATATATATATATATATCTTGTAAGCTGCTCTGAGTCCCCTTCGGGGTGAGAAGAGCGGCATATAAATGTCGTAAATAAATAAATTATATATATTTATACACACACACATCATATATATACATTTACAATTTGGGAGAATATAGCAATATTAAAATTAGAGAAATACATCACCAGGAATGTAATGAACTGAGAATGCAGCAGTGAGAGAAATGTTGGTATCTTATTGTTGTTGTTGTTGTTGTTATGTTTATTGATACCCCGCTTTTTTCTCTCCACAAGGAGACGTAGAGGTGCTCACATTAAAAGCATTATCAATCCAATTTAAATTTTCCAAATATACAAACCTTAAAATAGAATTAATTATTTTGTTTGCCCCTGTCCAGTCCAAGCCAAGGAAAGCAAACCTCCATATGCAATTGCATGAACATTAAAATTAAATAGAGTCCATTGCAATGGAGCAAAGGCTTCTAGGAAAATATTCCAAAATCTGAAATATTTTTTGTCTTTTTCTCTTTTTTCAGGACAAGGGATTGGGAAGAAGCTGATGCGGACGGTTGCTGAGGTGACTCCACGCTCCCTTTCCTTTTGGCACTTGCAAAACTACAGATCCCAGGATTCCATAGCGTTGAGCCATGGAAGATGAAGTGGCGTCAAACTGCATTAATTCTACAGTGTGTAGATACATGCTAGGGTACAAACTAAACTAAGTCATTAAAATTACGAGATTAAGAGATGCCATATTAGGAAGACTTTTTTGAAACGTAGGAGGTGCTCAGCAGTGCAGTATGGACTTCTTTGGAAGATAGAGAACTATTACTCTTTGGAAAGACCTTTAAACAGAGTTTGGGTTGATATCTTTTGGAAGCGTTTTAGTTGTGTCTTTCTGCATGGCAGAACAGGCTTGGACTAGATGACCTTTGGAGAACCCCCCATAGTGGATTATGGACTTCTTTGGAAGAGAGTGATATTCCCTTTTTTGAAGGTCTTTAAACACAAGTTGGATGACTATCTTCCAGGATTGCTCTTCTTGTGTTTTCCTGCATGGCATAAAGGGGTAGGACAAGATGACCTTTTGGTACCCCTTTGACCTCTAGTGGATTATGGGCTGTCTTAGATGGTGGTGGGCTCTTCTTCTTTGGAGGTCTTTTGATGGAGCATCTTTGAGTTGTGGATTCCTGCACAGCAGAAAGAGGTTGGACTAGATGACCTGTGGGGGAACCCTTAGTGGATTATGGACTTCCTTGGGAAACAGTGGACTCTCCAAACACAGGTTGGATGGACATCTTCCAGGACTGCTTTTCTTGTGTTTTTTTGTGTATGGTTTATATCTTTCAGAAGCATTTTAGTTGTGTCATTCTGCATGACAGAACAGGGTAGGACTAGATGACCTTTGGGTACCCCTTTCACCTCTAGTGAATTATAGGCTACCTTGGAGGGTGGTGGGCTTCCCTTCTTCAGAGGTCTTTCAATGGAGCATCTTTTGGGAGTGTTTGGGTTGTGAATTCCTGCACGGAAAAAGGGATTGGACTAGATAGCCCTTGGGAACTCTTCCAACTCTAGTGCATTGGAAGATGGTAGTCACCAAATCTTTGGAGATCTTCCAACGGAGGTTGGACCAGCACCTTTTGGGAGTGCATGGGTTGTGGATTCCTACCTGGCAGAAAGGGGTTGGACTAGGTGGCCTTTGGGATCCCTTCCAACTCTAGTCATTGGAAGAGAATAGTCACTAAACCTTTGGAGATCTTCCAATGGAGGTTGGATGGTCACCTCTTGGGAGTGCTTGGATTGTGGATTCGTACTTGGCAGAAGGGGGTTGGATGAGGTGACCTTTGGGATCTCTTCCTACTTTAGTGCATTGGAAGATGGTAGTCACCAAATCTTTGGAGGTCTTCCAATGGAGGTTGGATGGTCACCTCTTGGGAGTGCTTGGGTTGTGGATGGATGCCTACCTGGCAAAATGAGGTGGCCTTTGGGGGTCTCCTTTTGAGCTTATGGTTCTGGATTCCTGCAACCCACCCACCCCATTTCCTGGGTTTCTCCTTCCAGATTGGCTTGGAGAAGGGATGCACCCAGATGAAATTCAGCGTCCTGGACTGGAACCAGCCGGCCATCGACTTCTACCTGGGCGAAGGGGCCGTGGACCTGACCGCTGCCGAAGGGTGGCACGTCTTCCGCTTCGAGGCCGACGCCATGCGGCAACTTGCAAGTAAATAAACCCTTTTGGGTTCAACGAATGCACCTTCTTCTAGGATCCTCTGCCACCCATCCGGATGCCCGGCACTTGTGTGTAGTAATTTTCATAGGCACCCTACAATGAACACACTCTAGACCAGTGGTTCCCAACCAGTGGTCTGCAAGAACTAAAATACGGTCCGGCGTGAAACATTTAAATATATGTAAGGTCCTTTGACAGGCTCCCTGTTTTGCTCGAGGCTTTTGGACTTACCCATTATTGAGAAATTAGAAATAAAAGGCATGTTTAAAAACAAAACGCACTTGGAATTGCAGTTTGTGTCTAAGACACCTTAAAATAATGCACACCGCATAAAAGGAGAGTGCTACATGGAGGGAAGAGGAAATAGGGGAAACTCGGGCACTCTTAAAGTGACATGGTACCTGTTAAAATGACCTCCAAAGTCCAGAAGTTTTGTTTTGTTTTGTTTGTTTGTTGTTGTTTTTGTTTTGTTTTTTTCGTGTCGGGAGCAACTTGAGAAACTGCAAGTCGCTTCTGGTGTGAGAGAATTGGTAGTCTGCAAGGATGTTGCCCAGGGGACATTGCCCAGATGTTTTGATGTTTTACCATCCTAGTGGGAAACTTCTTTCATGTCCCCACATAGGGAGCTGGAGCTGACAGAGGGAGCTCATCCCCACTCTCCTCAGTTTTGAACCTCTGTCTTGTCGGTCTTCAGTCCTGCCAGCACAAGGGTTTAACCCATTGCACCACTGGGGTCTCCAGAATTGACTTGGAGGTACAGACCCAGATAGGACGGACTTAAGGGAGGTATGTCTTCCCCGTGGGAAATTGTGACTAATGGACTCTTTCCTACCACTTCTCTTTTCCCAGTGCCTTTAGCTCTTTTCCATTTTCTTTTTTACTTTTTCTCGGTCTTTGTATTTCCCTTCCCCATGTGAAGAGTGCCATTGTTATTGGGTTGCTATAAGTTTTTCGAGCTGTGTGGTCATTTTCCAGTAGCATTCCTTCCTGACGTTTCGCCAGCATCTGTGGCAAGCAACCTCAGAGGTTTGTGTCAGAAATATTAAACATTATTAAACTGAGGTGAACTAACACTGAGGCCTACTCACACTGAGGCTTACTCATGCTGAGGCCTACTAACACACTGAGGCCCTTCTTCCACAGAGACCCCTCACAGTCGGAGACTATTAAGTTACAGGCACACCTGCTTATATTGAACTGCAGCTTTTGCTGAGTCTTGGCATCCATTTAACCTTTTCAGTGCTTGACTCACATTTTTGTTATAAAAAATACCTAGTTCAGAAATATTAAAAATTAACTAGGTATTTCTTAATTCCAAAGCTGCAGTTCAATATAAGCAGGTGTGCCTGTAACTTAGTAGTCTCAATCCGTGAGAGGTGTAAGACTGTAGGATCTATATAGCAATATTAAATGACCACTCACAAGCCAGTTTTGCTTTGAAATGGATATATTGCTTGTTTCTCTGCAGCAAAGAAAGACACTGCTGACTTTTTCCCACCACCACTTCCTTTTATACACTTTTCCTGCCCAACTCCCCCCGCTTCTCAGTTTCCTTATTAGAGCTTGTTGCTTCACAAGTTCCAATACAAGATTTCCAGCACCCTCTGCTGACTTCAAAATGTCACAGAGAGAGAATTGAGTCAGCCAGGATGATTCAGTCAGGATGTCATAGAGGGAATTTGTGATGTCTTCATGCCGTCAGAAATTGACTCCTGACAAGAGGTCTCTGTGGAATAAGGGGCCTCAGTGTGTTAGTAGGCCTCAGTATGAGTAGGCCTCAGTGTTAGTTCGCTTCAGTGGGAGAAAGGCCTCTGTGTGAGGTAGGCCTCAGTATGAGAATGCTACAGTGTGAGAGGAAGCTCCACTGTGAGGGCTGCTGTGTGTAAAAAGCTACTGTGTGAAGCTCCTGTGTAACTTCAGTGTGAGAGGAGGAGAGGTCTCTGTGGAAGAAGGGCCTCAGTGTGTTAAGAGCCTCAGTATGAGTAGGCCTCAGTGTTAGTTTGTTTCAGTGTGAGGTAGGCCTCAGTGTGAGGTAGGCCTCAGTATGAGAATGCTGCAGTGTGAGAGGAAGCTCCACTGTGAAGGCTGCTGTGTGTAAAAAGCCACTGTGTGAAGCTCCTGTGTAACTTCAGTGTGAGAGGTTTCTGTGGAAGAAGGGTCTCAGTGTGTTAGTAGGCCTCAGTATGAGTAGGCCTCAGTGTTAGTTCGCTTCAGTGGGAGAAAGGCCTCTGTGTGAGGTAGGCCTCAGTATGAGAATGCTACAGTGTGAGAGGAAGCTCCACTGTGAAGGCTGCTGTGTGTAAAAAGCTACTGTGTGAAACTCCTGTGTAACTTCAGCGTGAGAGGAGGAGAGGTCTCTGTGGAAGAAGGGCCTCAGTGTGTTAGTAGGCCTCAGTATGAGTAGGCCTCAGTGTTAGTTCGCTTCAGTGTGAGGTAGGCCTCAGTGTGAGGTAGGCCTCAGTATGAGAATGCTACAGTGTGAGAGGAAGCTCCACTGTGAAGGCTGCTGTGTGTAAAAAGCCCCTGTGTGAAGCTCCTGTGTAACTCCAGGGGAGGCTCTGTGAGAGCGAAGCTGTTTATCTGCATGAGAAAGAAGCCCAGCGTGGAAGCAAAGAAGGAAGTGTAAATAACTTTATTTAAGTCACTCCTCATAAGGCTTGTTCTCCAGACCCTTGATCATTTTAGTCGCTCTCCTCTGGACACATTCCAGTTTGTAAACATCTCCCTTCAATTGTGATGCCCAAAAGGATGGGGATGCTTACCACAGATACAGGCAAAACGTCAGAAGAGAATGCTGCTGGAACATGGCCACACAGCCCAAAAAAACTCACAGCAACCCAGTGATTCCTGCCATGAATGCCTTGGATGCTATTATTTCCTTATTTTGCAAGCATCCCATCCATCCTTTAGTGTTTACCTCTTGGCTATCCTTCCTCCCCAGACTCCAAGGAATGACAGCTTGCCTCTGTCCATGTGAAGAGTGTGATGGTTTTATTTCCTTGAAGAATCACAGCATTTTTGCAAACTGTCCAGCCCAGGCATGGGCCAACTTCGGCCCTCCCTCCAGGTGTTTTGGACTCCAACTCCCACAATTCCTAACAGCCTACCGGCTGTTAGGAATTGTGGGAGTTGAAGTCCAAAACACCTGGAGGGAGGGCCGAAGTTGGCCCATGCCTGATAACAGCCCTTTGCCTCCATCTCTCCCAACCCCCATGAAGATCACAGCCGGCCTCTGCCCATGTGCAGAGCGCCACCGTTGTCTTTTGCAGCCTTTGTGCCGCTTAGCCTGTGGCCTCCATCTCGCAGACCCAATTATACCGGTACAGGCAATGCTCATCGCTCCAGAGGCCGTCCCGATAGATGTGGGCGCAGTCCGCACTCTCCATGGGAACCATGTAGGAGTAGTTGTTGGGCTCCTGGGGTCGCCAGTCTCTGCAAGGAGAAGGAGGAAGATGGGATTTCTATGGTCAAGATCTTTAGGCACTGCACCTAGTGTGCCCATCACCACTGGGACCACCTTGACTGGCTTGTGCCACAGTCTTTGCAGTGGTTCTCAACCTTTCTAATGCCGTGACCCCTAAATACAGTTCCTCATGTTGTAGTGACCCCCAACCATATTTTTGTTGCTACTTCATAACTTGTTCTGTCATGCGCTGGGCCTGTAAAGAATTGTCTTTAGAACAGGACGTGCAACCTTTGTCCAGCGGGATGCCAGGGGGCCCAAAGAGAAGTTCTCAGAGGTTTTCCACCACAGATAATCTTTAGATGGCTTGTGAAGTATAACAAAGTTCTTTATTAATGAACAATCAAACAGAAACTTCTCTTGTCTTCAATAAAGCTAAACAAATGCTTCCAAGCTTTATGCAACTGGTGACTTCCTAATCTTGCCCACGAAGGACAGGCAACTGTCTTCAATAACTTCTTCTTTACTTTAAATGGAAAATCCCCTTTTTAACTTCTCCCAGGCTGACTGTAATCTAACCCTTACTGATGTGGGCTCCGCTACCGGGTCGAACTGCGTCTCGAAGCACCGAGTGGACCTACCAGTAAAGGCTTAGATATTCTCCAGCTGGAGTTCTTTGGTCTTTAGGGCTGTTTTCCTGGAAATCTTTGGAGGCTCTTAAGACTGTTTCCCCCCGGAAAGTCCTCAAAGCTTTGGGGAGGCTTCCCTGGAGTTCTCTGGTTTGCTCTTAAGACTGTTTCCCCCCAGAAAGTCTTAAGGGTTGAAGCTTTTGTACAGGGGAAGCTTGCACACGTCCTGTACATTAGCTTACCTTGCTGAGACTAACTAAAAAATGGCTCCCTTCCCTTCCCAATTGCCCTGAGCAAGGGGTGGACCAAAACTTAACGATGATGGACAGGTGACTTGCCCTATGACTGCAACCAAAGGAAGCCACCTTTCTGCAGAGTCCCTGAAACCTTGGACTGCAAGCAAACATTTAATACAAAGCAAATCAAGTAGGAGCCCCTGGTACAGCCGTACCAAAACAACTGTACTGTTATGAATTGTAATGTAAATATCTGAGATGCAGGATGTATTTCCATTGTTACAAACAGAATGATGTATTGGTGAATGATGCGTACAGATGCCAGTAGCTTCTGCGAAGTCCTCGGTATCTGTTTGGCGCGCTGTTGAGGGTGCATGGGATCGCAGGAGAAGGCGTGGCCTTACGAGACATGCTGCGACCCCTCCAGAATTGCCAAGTGACCCCTCCGGGGGTCGCGACCCCCAGGTTGAGAACTGCTGCTTTAAATCCTTATATCGTGTAAGCCAGTGTTTCTCAACCTGGGGGTTGGGACCCCTGGGGGGGTCGCGAGATGGTGTTCGAGGGGTCGCCGAAGACCATCAGAAAACACAGTATTTTCTCTTGGTCATCTGGGTTACATGTGGAAAGTTAGGTCCAATTCTATTGTTGGTGGGGTTCAGAATGCTCTTTGATTGTAGGTGAACTATAAATCCCAGCAACTACAACTCCCAAATGCCAAGGTCTATTCCCCCCAAACTCCACTAGTGTTCACATTTGGGCATGTTGAGTATTTGTGCCAAATTTTGTCCTGATC